CAAATCTCCAATCTTGGCCACAAAAGAAATACCAAAAAAAAAAACATCTCTAGCTTATTATAATATATATGGGAAACTACCGAAGATTACTTGTGAACTTTATTAGGTTTTGATTAATGGGCAAATTGTCAGATTTGATTATTTCATATGTTTTTCTTTTAAAACCATCGTATCTCGTACTTGGAATGGAGGAAGAAAATCTTGTGTATGGTGAGAGAAATTGCAAGATATTGAAGCAAAATTGAATTGCGTAACTAAGACACTTGTATTCTTTAAACATGTTGCAGTGTGAAATTTGAAGAACATGCCATAGCTATGAGCTGCTGGATCTTCTTGTATGGTTTGGTTTGCTTTTTGAAGGTGAAAGGGGGAGGCGATGGGAAGAGAGCAACAATCTGTTTTAACGTTTCGTAAAGTTTGTTTTGGGTGTGCAGCCATTTTGTTTTATTTAAAAATAATCTATGTTTGATGTGTCAATTTTTTGGCTTTTGGATGAAATTTAAATAAGATTGCATGCTAATAAGAGTCAAGTATATCATGATAGAGAGAAATTTAAGAAGATAATTCAGATCCATTTTAATGATACTATTAAGTGGACCCAAACCACTGGTCGGCATTGTATTAAAAAGTCCAAATAATCGTTAATGCAGAAAATATTTCCTGACTTGAGGAGTGGGTTGGAGAGATTCCCAAGTTAAGTAGTTGTCTATTGTGGAACAAGTGTTTAGTTCTTATTGAACTTTCTTTGTTCTATTTTTCTTTTTGTCCTTTTTTTCTTTTGGAATACGATGAGAACCACATAACATGAGTATATGGTCAAAGTCTTCCTCTATGTTGCCTGCACTTGGCTTCTTGCTTCACTAGGCCCAAAAACCTTTCGGAAATTTGATTAGTCTTCTTCACCTGAAAGGAAATTTCCTTGGGGTGGCTCGGAATGTGGACAATGATAAATAGACAAGTACCTCTCATAACAACTGTGTTTGAATATTAATCAACAGTTTTGAGCACATACTTGGTATCTTCTGCACCTTTGAGTTTAGCAGAGAGAATGGTCTATTCCCTTGAAAACAATATATAGACTAGTTTATTGTCAGTTATATGTTGAATGTTAATTCATGATATAAAAAATCAAAGCTTCGGATTATTTTAATAATATTATTAAGTAGACCCCAACAATTAGTTAGCATTGTATTAACTCTTTTTTTTTATATATCTAGCAAATACATATTATGTGGTGTTATATCGGAAGTGGAGGTTCGGTGGTGACACCCTAGGCAAAGATATTCAATTTGTTTGGCTATTCCAAAAGCGATCTTGCAACTAAAGAATGAATTCTTATAGCATTAACGTACGTGCTCTTTAATCTTATAGTATGTATAGATCAAAATGTTGGCACGAGTCCTGATTTCCTTGTGCAATTCACGTTGCCTAATTAGAGTAGTTACCTAGTTAGGATTCCTTGTAGGAAAGTCAACCTGTACTTGTATAAATATCCTCCTTACGGAGAAATATGAAATAATTCACAATCATTCAATCCTGTGTTTTAAGTCAAAAGTCCAACCATAAGTCCAATTTTATTTTTTTTAGTTACTTTTTTGTTATCATCTTTTATCATTTAAATCAAAATTAAAATGTAACAGGTTTTATCATATGATAATTAAATGTGGGAGTCATTTTAGTGATATCGATCGATATAATTCATTTCATCAAATTAATGCAGAAAATATTGTTTCCTCACTTGAATGGGTTGGAATGAAGTAGTTGACTAAAAGCATTGTGGAAATGCCAAAGACTGGAGAAATTTCAGGCCTACTAAATGGTCCAAGTCTCTCGTTGGTGCCGACAAACGTTTTGGACTATTCTGGTGTTTTAGCATGCATACAGTATAACAGTTGTATTTGAAGTTTTGAGCGCAATACTCTGACTAGTTTATTGTGCTGTTGATGGGAGTGGATCAAGAATGATTTATTTGGATATCTAAACTACACGACCATTCAAATACAAAGGATCCTATCAAAAAAAAACCTAAGGGGAAAAAATATATATTTGAGTTTTTTTCACTATATCATCACATAATTTGAATTATTCATTTTTTAGGTAATCATCGTTTATAAGAAGTATTGAGTTCTTCTATTTATTTAAGTAATTTTTTGTAACAATCATCTTTGAGTAATGACCTAAATCATGAATCTTTTGGTTAATAAGATGACATTGTGGAGTGGACATAGACTAATGGCTAGTGTTGTAATATCTTAATAATAAGATGTTAGAGCTTTGGATAAAAGCTTAAAAATATTGATTAAGTAGAGGGGTTCACAGGAAATATTGACGTACCCTCATCTAAATACTTACATGTTGAAGAAAAATTAATATTACAAGGAGTTTGTAGTTCTAATGATTAAGATCATTTATTTTACCACGGAAGATCAATATTATTCGATTCTTCTTCCTTCATAAGTGTTTGTATGAAAAAAAATATAAATACTAACAATTTTATTCACTTTGGTATATGCTCTACCACAATATGGGTCACCCTTTTTTTCCTTTCTATAATTCAAAATACACCATTATATATGAATATATAGAAAAAGAGACACCATCTTAGTCTCAATTATAACATGTACTACAAGTTTGATGAATTATTGCTATCTAATTAATACTTCACATTGAAATTTATTGAATTCAAACTAGTTTCTTAATTAACTAGCTCTCCTTAACACTACAATACCATAACAATCTTATTATAATAACACTCAATGACTTATCTCAGAAATGAGTGGTATAATCCATGCAGGAACATGTGCTTCTTCAGCATAGAGGTCTGTTCATTATCACCTTCAACTCGAAGTGCTCGCAAAAGGATTAGGTGGCATGGCTAGATTACCTTCTCTTTCCAACATTTGAACTACAACTTTCATTGAAGGACGATCTGTTGGATGCCATTGGATGCACCATAGACCCACAATTGCAAGTTTCCTAGCAATTGTAACATCTGCTTCATCGTCACCAATATGAATTCGTAGGTCGTTGCCCTGCTCTAATAGGTTATAGATCCATTCTGGGAAGTAGACTTGACTAGTGGAGTCCTCCATGACTTTGAAGTTTTTTCTGCCTCCAACCATTTCAAGTAACAATATTCCAAAACTATAGACATCCGACTTATAGGAGACATTGCCGAAGTTCCTTGAGAAGATTTCAGGTGCAATGTAGCCCATGGTCCCCCTAGCTGTAGTCATCGATATTGCACTTTGATCCTTAGCACAAAACTTGGCTAAACCAAAATCAGAAACTTTTGGAGTGAAATCTTGGTCTAGCAATACATTTTGTGGTTTGATATCAAAGTGCAGGATTCGTTGGTCGCATCCTTGGTGAAGATATTCAATTCCTTTAGCTATTCCTAGAGCGATATCTTGCAACTTATCCCAACCAATGAATGAATTCTTATTATCTGCTGATGATAAGAAATTTTGCAAAGAACCATTTGGTAAGTATTCGTAAACAAGAGCATGAATAAATCCGTCGGCGCAAATTCCAACCAAGCGAACCACATTGACATGGTGGATTTGACACATTGTCCCCACTTCGTTTATGAAATCTTCCCCATTTTCATTTGAATTGTTGAGCATTTTCACAGCAACAAGTAACTCGGAGGAAAGCTTTCCTTTAAACACTGTTCCGTAGGCACCTTGACCCAACTTTTCCTTGAATTGACTTGTTATCCTCTTAATATCAGCATAGGAATATCTACTTGGCTTCATCGCTCTGTATTCATCCAAAAATCTTTCAATTCTAAGCTGATTTTCTTTTTCCTTTTTGTTTGAGTTGTAGACATAGCAGATTGTCGTCCCCATCGCTATTAGAACTAAACAGAGTGCGGAAATACCTGCAAATATTTTCTTTTTGTGTCAAACGTTTTTTAAAGCATTTTTAGCCATTTTAAACTCTCTTCCAAACATATCCTTGATTAACTTCCTCCCCATTATATTCATAAAAAGAAAAAGAAAGAAAAAAGAAAAAAGAAAATAGATGAAATGATGGTCTGCGGATATAGCTCACCTAATATCTTCAGATTTGTCCTTCTGAGATTACGACCTGTAAAAGTTGTTCATGAAATAAGGGCCGGTTTTCAAATCAATGAAATCCAAAATTATAGTTTGCATAGAATCTTCAATTAATCTTGAAATAATCTTGAAATTATAGTTGGAAAGTAAACTTGGGAGTGTAAAATACCTTTGCAATGTTCACATGATGGAATGGACCAATGCAATAATAATTCTCCCATGTCATCATGTATATATGCAAGATCTGATGTGTAGTCATGCACCTTGATACAAGACACTAGGGGCATCTCATCAATGAAACAATGATCACGAAGGACAGCGTAAAAATGGTTACCAGAATTGTTGCCATGGCATGGGCTCAATCTCGCCAGAAGATAATTATAATTGGAAGAATATTCATCTCTTACTGTTGACGGTGGACAACTGAGTAAGGTTGCGTTGCCTAGGAATTCAAAGGGATAAGAACTATTACTGTAAAACAACTCCCTTGGCAAGCAACCAACATAAGCTCCTACGCTAATTGCATGAGATTTGTAGTTAATCCCATCAACAGGGAACTTAGCTGACGACGATGGTATCTCAAGCATAGTCTCGTTGTATTCACTGCAAGAAAGATCAAAGCCCCGGCCGCCCCAATGGGTTTGCTGCCTTCCCTTTAGTCGAAAAGGGGCACGGATGGGTGGTCTCTGCAATCTTCATGGCCTACTCCACCATTGACTCCTATTCCTATTACTACTACCACGGCCAGCCACCATAAGAAATTCATGATGAGAGAACCCTTTCTAAGCAAATAAATCGAATTCCTATTACTACTTCAATTTGATTACTTCAAGATGATATGGGCCCCACTCCATCTAGATGTTTGAGTCAATGGCGGGTGGGTCATGACTCATGACTCTTGACTCATGCAACCCCTCTCTCTTTTTTTTCTTTTTTTTAAAAAATCTGATTATCTCTTTAAAGGTTTTAATTAACTGTACTAAATTGAAAATCTCTTCCTTCTGCTCTGACAGCATGTCTGGAGGAAGTCTCCTATTTGCTGCATACACAGTGCTCCTTCTTCTTCTTCTTCTTCATGTTCCTTCCTCTTGTTCCCAAACAGCTTCCAATAATATTACAGCTAATAAAGCTCATGATAACTCTGATTGTACCCGTTCTTGTGGAAATATTAACATAAGCTCTCCATTCCGATTGAAAGGAGACTCTAAACACTGCGGCAACAAAAGTTACGAGCTATCTTGCGAGGCAAATGGAAATGGTACTACTCATCATGCAGTGCTATACTTGTTATCAGGAAAGTATTATGTACAAGCAATCAATTACAATAATTTCACAATCCGACTTGTGGATGCTGGTGTTCACAAGATCAAGGACAACTACTTCTCCCACCCACTCTACTCCTTCACCCCCTTCAACTTTTCTAATTATTACTCTGATTATACAGGTCCTTATGATTTCATCAGTCATAGCTATGATTACCCAACAGCATCAATGTTTATGTCTATAATCTTCCTGAGCTGTGAAAATCCAATGAATGCTTCCGATCTCATTGTTGAAAGAGCTCCATGCATCAGTGGGGTCAACAACTATTCTGCTTCCACTTCTTCTTTCTCCAATTTAGCAACATATTCTTATTTCATAACACTTTGGGCTGGGGATACCCTAAGTTTAAAAATTTTGGGGGATTCCTGCAAAATAACACTAATGGTTATGGTGTCCCCTACAACTGAGGAGCACATGACGTCTTGCAAAGGAATATATAATGAAATAGCGCATGGCTTTGAACTCTCATGGCTTCGTCATGCATGTATAGGAAAGTGCGGATCAGGGGAATTTTGCAGGCTGAACAGCACCGGCAATAGAATCTACTGCAAGCAACCACACATATTGCCAAAAGGTTAGACATTTGACAAACCTGAAATTATCTATTATTTCCGAGCAAATACGTACAGACATATTATCAGTACATTTTCGACAATATCATGCAGAAGGGATGTTGGTCTAATCATAATTCTTCTTTCGTAATGTAGGACGACGTTGGTACATGAAGATCATAATGTTCATAAGCCAGAAACTAGGCGAGTGATCCCTCTACTCTGTGAATACACCAGCTTATGATTTATTTTGGCCTTTTCGCTTGACTAACACCTTAGTCATTCTCATTCCATTGTTGCAGAAGACTCAATCTGTGCAGTCGTTTACCTCGGTAAGAGAATACAATTGTGTTGATCAGTCACTGAAACATTATTATTTAGATTTGGAGGCACCAAAAAGTCTATGTTATTATTATTATTACCATTTTTGTGTACCTTGCAGTGCTATACCACGCAGCCAAATTTTCATTTGGTTTTCCCCTTGTAACTGCACTGCTGATATATAAATGGCGAAGGAGGCACTTGTCAATGTATGAGAATATAGAAGACTTTCTACGGAGTAATAATAATCTCATGCCAATAAGGTACTCTTACTCGGACATCAAAAAGATGGCCAGAGGTTTTAAGGACAAATTGGGGGAAGGAGGCTATGGCTCTGTATACAAGGCAAAGCTCCGGAGCGGTCGCCTTGTAGCCATCAAGATGTTAGGCAAGTCCAAAACTAATGGGCAAGACTTTATCAATGAAGTTGCTACAATTGGAAGGATTCGCCATGTTAACGTGGTGCGACTTATTGGCTTCTGTGTTGAAGGTTCAAAACGTGCTCTTGTATATGATTTCATGCCTAATGGGTCTCTTGAGAAATACATTTTTTCTCAACAAGGAGATGTGTCTTTAAGTTGCCAAAAAATATTTGAAATCGCACTTGGAGTGGCTCGTGGTATTAAATACCTCCATCAAGGCTGTGACATGCAAATTTTGCACTTTGACATCAAGCCTCACAACATTCTTCTAGATGAGAATTTTACTCCCAGAGTCTCTGATTTTGGATTAGCAAAGCTGTACCCATTGGATAATAGCATTGTATCTTTGACTGCAGCAAGAGGAACCATGGGATACATTGCTCCAGAACTGTTCTACAAAAACATTGGAGGTGTTTCGTACAAAGCCGATGTGTATAGTTTCGGAATGCTATTGATGGAAATGGCTGGTAGAAGGAAAAACCTGAATGCGGGTATAGAACAATCAAGCCAATTGAGCCAAATCTACTTTCCGACATGGGTTTCTGATCAGTTGAATAAAGGAAAGGACATAGAAATAGGAGATGACGCCACAGAGGAGGAAAAGAAGATCGTAAAGAAGATGATGATGGTGGGATTGTGGTGCATACAAATGAAGCCAAGTGAACGGCCTCCAATGAATAAAGTAGTAGAGATGCTCGAAGGAGACATTGAGAGCCTCCCATTGCCTCCAAGGCCCTTCTTACATCCACAACAAATTCCTGCAGATGAAGTTGGTGGGGGCAATCCAAATCCATGTGCATCAAGTGCTTCAGAATCTGAAGAGATTACTTTGATTGCATATCCAAATGAAGTGAATTAATATTAGTCAAGATGAGGATCTATGTAAGGGAAAGTTAGCAGCTTTACTCTGTAATTGATCATAGCACAAATATGTTTACATGTTGTAATTGATTTAAGCAAATAATTAGCCTCTGCCTTTGGTTATTGTGTGAGAAACTGCCTGCCAGAAATGCAATGACTTGAACTTTGATGACAATTAGATTTACACAAATGAATTGCCCAAAAGAAACAATTCATTTCTATATGGACACATGTTATCGAGTGGGCTTGTTATGCCTGAACAGTGTTATGTTGGGTTTTTAAAAAGCTGTGCAGTGGCAAATAGCAATAATGAGAATCCAGGTATAGGGTAAGGTCCTTCTAGCAATAATGAAAATGAAAATCCGAACTGTGGAACATAAGGTGTTGAGAACAAAGCAAATGCAAATAGACTGAGAGGAAAGTTTGTATCAACCGCAACGGTGAAAGCGGGCAGCTCAAAAGTTTGTAGCCCGCCCCCTTATGACATTTATACATGCTTCCCCTGTCCTCTGTTTTCTTCTTAAACCTTGTTAAGTTTCAGTTTGCAGATACAGCGAGTGTTTGTACCTATTTATAGTTGCTCAAGCTAAAGATGGCATCAATAATGGACAGCGAACTTCGGCCCTTCTCTTCTATGCTTGGTTCAAAATTAAACAAGACCCTATACGTCAAATAATCTCCATATCTGAATTAGAATCCAGTTCTACCGACAATGACTAAACCATATGTAAGAGTTTACAGACCCAGAGCAAAGCTACAGACTTGGATTTGGACCAAAGTGAAACTCAAAAACCTTCGTCCAAATCCTTAACCTCCTTAATTTCTAAGGCTGAAATCTGATGCAACTCTGATGTGGAAATACCATACCCCTTTTGTGAACTAGAGCTTAATGGAGTCAGCAATTTGGGCTAAAAAATTGAAACGTGCAAACTACATGACTGAACAAACATTAGCATAAGCTGCACAATCCACGCGGGCTTACCGTGGAAACCTTCCAAAGGGAAGTGCCAGTTTCACTAAATTCTAAATTCTTAACATAGTAATAAGGCAGACAAACTTGATTAACAAATAAATTAAAAGTAAAAACCGCAACTAAACGAATCTGATAAGTGGTATAATCTTCTCTTCTGAAATAGATAACACACATCACAGAAGTAGAAGACATTGCTGTTAAAACTAAAAGTTACACTCATTCTATACACAACTCTGTTATTAGATCATTGATCCCATCCTCAACCCTAAAAAAAGCTCTTGATTTTTGAACATATATCCCAACCATTTTCAAATCCACTAGGATCGGCAAAGCCTATAGATGTTCTAAACAACCACTCGTAAGGTGGATTCAACAAGGTTAATAACCAAAGCCAAAACAAGCATGAGACAGATGTTCTAAGCAACTACCCTGTTTCTTTCTAGTTTCTACTAAATAATGTTGCCACCATCCATTTTCCAATCCTCTATGTCTAGGATAAGCAAGACTCCATCAAAAAACACCAAGAGCCATTAAAGGAAAATGAGCTCTACTTGACCTCTATCAAAAAGACAACAATAATCAACTGAATACAACAAGCAAACAAGCTCAGCTAAGATGTAGTATTTTGGGAGGAGAAACAAAAAAACAAACTCAATTGCAACCATCACTAACCAGAAACAACAAAAGAATTGTAGTTAAAAATATATACAACAACTTAACCTAAATCCATAAACTCATCTTACTACTAATTATACAACAACAAATTCCTCGTTCCTAACTTGTCACAATTTCAGAGACTTCAATTGAAAAGTGAGAGATTAAAAAAATTACCATTTGCACCAGACGCATTGCCCTCACCTCAAACAACAACCTGGCAATCTCTTGACCCGCCGGCCAAAGTACCCAATCCGCCTTTCGACGAAAGAGAAACCGCCACGCCACTGCACAAAACCCTCAAGAGCCGCCGCCTCAGCCTCCACCCACCTCTCCGAAACTCAACCCTAGCCGAAAGCTTCACGTTGAAGCTCACGCTCCCACGCGCCCTGGCCGCGTCGATGCCGCTCGCCACCGGAGCGCCAACGAACGAATTCGCCGCAGAGAAAGTCGCGTTGACAGACGTACGATCCTTAGTCCCCTGAGCGAACGGCGGAACCCGAGTCCCCGAAATGAAGCCGGGGCCGTAGGAGATAGAGGACTCGACGTCGTCGTATCGTATACTGAGCTTCTTGTTGGGGTTGTAGACCATGAAG